AAATGGGGGAAATAATGATATTATACACTCGAAAATAGTTAACACACTATATTTGGTTATGCGGAACGTTAGAAAATGACGTGAATACATTAATAAATGATCAAATTAGACACCACAACGATCCCTAAAACACCCCCTCTTTAAACATGTTATGCTGTGTTTTGTTATGTTTTAACGTGTAAATTTGTGAAATTTAAGGGTTTAATGGTTAGAGAAAATGTCGGTGCCATGACGAATAATTTGATTAATTATTAATGCTGTACTAAATAGGGAAGTACATATAATATTATTCAAAAACACGACAATTATTATTAGGTATAACAAATAATTTATTCCTTATTAATTTAAATATTTGTATACACTGTTATAAAAATAAGATTTGTTAACATGAGTTTGTAGTTAGTTAATTTTTACAAAATTGTTTGTATACAACCTGGGTTTGTAATTATTTTAACAAAGGAAAATATTTTACCGAAAGTTTTGTAAGCATTTTGTTAATTTCAAAGGTTACAGATTATTATTATTATTATAGTAAATTGATTTTACTATACTACAAATAGTAATATTTAATCAAATGTAAGGTGTACATCTAATATTATAATATATTACACATTAATAAAAAATATAGTAAAAATAAAGATACTTTTATGTTTAAGGTAAATAAACAATATATTTAAATATAATATACAATATATTAACTCATGACATTTTAAACATTCAGTTTTCTTAGTTTCTTCAATAAACTTTCTTGACCCATTACTGGTAATACTTATAAGAAAGAATTGAACCTACTTGGTTGCATAGTTTGTACCGATTGCGGCAAAGGCCACGTCGCGACGCGTCGTTAGACGGTGTGGATCACGTGATGTTCTTACATCCTCGCCTCTGTTGGCTTACCAACCATGTTATATAAGCTCAGGTATTTCTTTGTTTTGGGTGTGTTCCACTACTACAAGTTGCTCTACAGTGTCGTGTCGACACTGATGATACCCAATATAGGTCAAAACACCTGTCAGTATTTGAAGTTGATGGAACGCACTCAAAACAAAAAACTTTGGCGAGGTGTAGGTTCAATTCTTTCTCATAACATTTTTGTATATTAAAAAGTACAATAAATATGTTACAATTTTTAATTGTTAACATATAAAAATATTCGATTTTAAAATATTTTATATTTAAAATGGCAACATAATATTTTAAAATTTACTATACTTATAAGTAATGGAAAAAATCTAATTATAATAAGAATTAAAAACAAAATTGGTTGAGAATAATAATATTTTACCTTAAGGTTTAACATACATGGATATTTAAAAATTACTAAATATGCATAGTATATCTGGCAATATACAAGATAGTTGTCCCAAATAGTAATATAAATTATAGTAAAGGGTATTATAATTATGGTAATCAGCATTATACTTTTCTCTCCGTGTAGTAATACTGATAAAATTAATTTATTTATTTATTTAATATATTGTAGCGAGTACCGCTCTGGATATCGGAGTGATGACTCATCGCCGGTTAGTCATCGCCGATGAGTCATCGCCGGTGACTCAGCGCTCGAACAATCGAGAGTGTGGAGCTCGCTGGAATGTTCCAGAAGACCTTGGCGCTGTAATATATAAGAAACGGAGCAGCACAGAGCAAGTTAGTTAAGATTTGGTATTCGCGGTGAAATAAATAAATATAAGTGCAAATAAATAGACTCTTGAACAATAGTGATATATAAATAATTAGTAGTTAAGTGTTTAGTTAGTTTTATAGTGTTTTAAGTGTAGTTAAGTTAATAAATAAATAGTTAAGTTCGTTAATTAACCAGTGCGTGTTTTTATTCACACTACGAACAGTTAAAAACGTTACAATTGGTGTCAGAAGTGGGATTAGTGTGAAACTTCGCGAAAATGGTTTCGTTAATGGACTTAAAAGTGGCGGACCTTAAGCGGGAGCTGGAAGAACGAGAATGTGAAACAACTGGGAAAAAGAATGTGTTGCAGCAGCGGCTTCGAGAAGCGTTGGAACAGGAAGGTGAAAATCCAGATACGTATTTATTTGAAGGTTCATGTGATATGCATTTATTGTTGCAAAATTTAAAAAGCGATTTGCAACAGAAAATGTTAGAAAATTCTGGCGATGTACAACAGAGAATTCTGGAAAATTCTAATGAGTTACAACAGAAAATGTTGGAAAATTCTAACGAGTTACAACAGAAAATGGTAGAAAATTCTAGCGATTTAAAAATCGATTTACAACAGAAGATTCTGAAAATTCCAACGATTTACAACAGAGAATTCTGGAAAATTCTAACGAGTTGCAAAAGAAAATGCTGGAAAATTCTAACGAGTTATAACAGAAAATGTTAGAAAATGTCAACGATTTAAAGGACGATTTGCAACAGAAAATGCTGGAAAATTCTAGCGAACTACAGCAGAAAATTCTGGAAAATTCAAAAAATTTAAAGGAATGTTTGGAACAGAAGATTCTAGATAATGTTAAGGAATTAAAAGAGGACGTAAGGATGGAATTAAATAACGTAAGGATGGAATTGAATGACGTAAGGATGGAATTGGATGATAAATTGGAAGTCAAAATTAAAGAAATAAATAGTAAACTGACAGCTGTAAATCTACCCATGATGCTGGCGGAACCAGGAACAATGCCGGAGGGGAGCCGAGTTCGAATGAAACCACCTCAGTTCGATGGAAAAACTTCTTGGACCAACTACATCCGTCAGTTTGAGGCAGCAGCAAAACCAAATGGCTGGCTACCAGAAGAAAAAGCTACAGCATTGACTCTGGCTTTACGCGGAGATGCAACCGACATCTTGCAGACACTTTCTCCCAACGAACAAGAAGATTACGAAGCGTTGGTTAAACATCTGGAACTGCGATATGGCCAGACACATCTGGAACATGTGTACCATTCCCAACTGAAGAATCGCTGCCAGAAATCTAACGAGACTTTGCAAGAATTTGAGGCTGATATTGCAAGCTTGGTCCGGCTAGCATATCCAGCTACTCCAACGACCGTTATGGAACGATTAGCGGTTCAAGCCTTTTTGGATGGACTTCGGGACAACGAAACAAGACAGGCTCTGACGTTGGCTCGTCCGAGCCAACTGGTTGATGCATTGGCTCGAGCTTTGGAATTCGAGGCGGCAAAGAAGAGCTGCAGGAGCCAAGGCGGAAAATGGAGGATTTCAACCTGGAGACCTAGTTTGGTTATACAACCCTCAGCGCCGTCGTGGTTATTCACCGAAGCTGCAGACTTCTTGGGAAGGACCATACGAAGTCATCGATCGCATAAATGACATCATCTACAGGATCAGAAAACAACCAAGAGGAAAGCCGAAAGTGATCCATTTCAACCGATTGGCCCCTTACGCTGGAAACAATGCTCAAATAGACGATGCTAGAGTAAGGAGAGTTAATCCGCCGGAAGACGACTTGCCTTTTGAAGACTTCATGTATTTATATTCGAGCGGTAAAAAAGCTCGGTATGGTGTCACTCGAGAAGAACAAAAAGATCTGTTCACGGTTTCGGCCGATTACTCCTTGGCTCACTGTGTTGCAGAAGACCTAAGGATGTCCAGGGGAATAGCGGTTGTCTTTAAAAACAAGTTTGGACGGGTCGACGAGCTACGAAGGCAGAATCCCAAAGTTGGAGAGGTGCTTGAAATTGTGGATAATGAGCAGATAGGCAATAGAAGTATCTTCTATCTGGTAACGAAGCAGCTCTCCCATCATAAGCCAAACTACCGTGACGTATGGAATGCCTTAAATAAATTGAGGGATACCTTTTTGTCCAAGGACATCATGAACCTGGCGATACCGAAGATTGCTTGTGGACTTGACGGTTTAGACTGGAGAATAATTAGAAGCATGGTGGAAGTTATCTTCAGATGTAGTGGCATACACATTCTTGTCTGTTGCCACAACCCTAAAAGAACATCCGGAAGGAAGACCGTAGACTGCTACTTCTATAGGACGTCACAATGCAAGTTTGGATCTCTATGCAAATATCGCCATGGAGCTGAGGACCATTTTCGGGACGAAAATGTTTTAAGACGGGGGCAATGTAGCGAGTACCGCTCTGGATATCGGAGTGATGACTCATCGCCGGTTAGTCATCGCCGATGAGTCATCGCCGGTGACTCAGCGCTCGAACAATCGAGAGTGTGGAGCTCGCTGGAATGTTCCAGAAGACCTTGGCGCTGTAATATATAAGAAACGGAGCAGCACAGAGCAAGTTAGTTAAGATTTGGTATTCGCGGTGAAATAAATAAATATAAGTGCAAATAAATAGACTCTTGAACAATAGTGATATATAAATAATTAGTAGTTAAGTGTTTAGTTAGTTTTATAGTGTTTTAAGTGTAGTTAAGTTAATAAATAAATAGTTAAGTTCGTTAATTAACCAGTGCGTGTTTTTATTCACACTACGAACAGTTAAAAACGTTACAATATTGTACCAAATTTCTTTATAATTTGATGATTTCAGAATGGTGTGTTCATTTTTTTGTTTAGGAAATTGATTAATAAAGAAACATTTCTTATTAAAATTCTTCTCTTTTTCCAATTTCCAACAAATACTTTTGTTCTACAAAATATTTGTTATAATTACAAACTACTTACAGTTGGTTGTAAACTTAACATAAAGTTATGTGGACCTAGATTAATGTGGTTAATATTTAGTTAATATTAACAAATATTTTTTACCGTGTAGTTAATCATATTTTTCTCTAAAAATCGAAATTTCTCCCCTTTAAACAACCGTTTCAATCCGATATGAAGGCAGTTTTTTACAGTTAAAGTAAAGAGGATATTTTATGCGTACTCAACCCAAATGCTTTATTTGCCAATACTAGTTTATCGACAAAATCAAAAGATCATTGCAAACATGCTTAAAAAGTGACTGCTCTTTACAGTTTTAAGCCTAAATGATATCGCTACAAAATACTTTTAAATTAAAAATTATCACATTTTTTAAATTATTTTTATTCATGAAACCATTAAAGCCAAAATAAATCCCGCATAGAATCCACACGAAACATTTAAATTCGTTTGAAATAATTCGTATATTTTATCAATCCAAATCGGCACGTTTCTCTGTATTTTTTTCGAAAAATCGCATACTTTCTTGTTGACATGCTGATGTCTTACTATAACATACCTAAAAGATGCAACTTTAGAATAAAATTTGATTTTTAAATTTGTTGTAAACATGTTTTGAAATATTAAACTTCTTACCCATTTTTGCTAGCAAAATACACTATAGCAATGGTTCCCCCCAAAATAACCACTGACGTTTTGCCTATATTATAAGCTAGGGCTCCTCCAATATAACCAACTGACGCTCCAATTAAAATTTGTTTGGAAACGGGCTCATTTTCCAAATAATCTATGAATTTTTCCAAATCCGTTTTTCTGGATTTCTTTCTATTATTTACTGAAGAATTTTCTGTTGCGTCCATTGGACATTTTACTTTTTATTTGCGTGACTTTTTAGAATTGTTATGTCAAGAAATTGACATTTTTTAGGTTACCAAATTTTCAGTTTAAATATACAGGTTGGTCCAGTTTATACCATCCGATTTTTTGAATCACTCTAATATACAGGGTGAGTCTTTTAACTTGAAACTTTAAAATATCTACGTAAATTTAATGGGCATTTTACGAAAAAAAATTAAAATAAAAATTATATGATTTGAGGGGGGAAATAAATAAGTAGGTAGGTACCTACTAACATTTTTCCCCATACTCTCATCTTTATAGGGAGGGCATGGGGTTACTTTAATATTTCCAAAGGAACAACCTATTTTTTATTGCAGATTCGGATCATTCGACTAAAAATAGGTAGATTTTAGTAAAAACATTTTTTCATATTTGTAAAAAATGGCACTGTAATAAAAAAAATTAACTTTGATCGATTTATCCTCTGAATACCATTCTGCAATATTTTTTTATTAAAAATTTAAAAATATAAAATAACTTTTTCATTAAAAATAATTATCTTATTAAATTAAATCTTATTTGTTTTTGTTGATAAAGTAAGATTTTTTTACTAATACACTTGGTACCGATGAAAAGAAATATGCAAAAAAAACTATATTTTTAACCTTTGACCTTGAATACAATTTTTACCAGAACAAGAACAGGACAAGACTTTTAATATTTTATTTGTTATAGTGTATTTAACACAAACCAATTTTACACGGAAAAAAAGCTAAATGTTCATCTCACCGTTCCGCAAGTATGGTTACTATTTTTTTAAGGATAGATTTATTCTTATTTGTAATTCAAATTAATACTTTGAAGGATATAGGGAGTTGAGTGCAAGAACTAACCTATACTTATTTGAATATAATTTCAATATTAGATGCAAGGGTAAACTTATTATTATTTTAAGAAAAACTATCATATTATTTTAAATGCAAGCCACCCTCAAATAAAATATACACTATGCTTAATTTAAGAAAAAGTATTTTTGATAAAAATGTTATAATTTTTGTCGATACAATATTTACTTTTGGATTAAATATAAGGTATCTTTATGTAAGTTAAGCAATAATTGTTTCAAATATTGTCTATTATTTATTTAACTTTTGCTCGACTTTAAATAAAGGTTAGGATATAATGACCATGATTATTTCAAAAGATAAAGAGTGGATTATGCTATCTGATAAAGAAAAATAGATAGGATAATCCACTTTACCTTTTAAAATAAACTTGGTCATTATATCCTAACCTTTAAAGTCGAGCAAAAGTTAAAAAAAAATAGACAATATTTGAAACAATTATTGCTTAACTTAACCTAAAAAAAATGATATTGGTCTACAGCATTGTCTTTATTACAACTTTTTTACAATGTTTTAAACAGGGCCGTGCCGTGATATGATGCGAGGATGCGGCCGCATCAGGCGGCACCGTAAAGGGGCGGCATTAGCAGCAACATCAAAAAAAATATATAGGTACAATTTAGATTTTTCAATACTTAAAAATCTTTATGCGACACTTTTTTAGATTAATCTGTGTAATTCCGGTATTAACGTAGGCATTAAGTAAGATTGACTCGCAAAAAGGCGCCTCCCCCGCATATCAAATAACAAGTGCAAGTTTATGTGGAGTAATTCTTTGGTATTATATACAACCTGGGTTTGTAATTATTTTAACAAAGAAATATATTTTACCGAAAGTTTTGTAAAGGTAAAATGCAATATTGTAAGCATTTTGTTAATTTCAAAGGTTACAGATTATTTTGTTAATGTTTAACAAATTATTCCGTTGAAAAAGTACACGTGATTTCAGGCAGCCAATCAAAACATTTCCAAGCACAACACACTTATCAACAAGTTGTGTCAGCTTCAACGGTTGTTTAAAATATTTAACGGTGACAGGAGTGTTTATAATGTCATTATTGGTTTTTAAATTAAAATTAGGCGATATATATATCGCCTAATTTTAATCACTATAGTGAAGTTAAAGTAAATAAGTAAGTGTTTTAAAAGTACTGATAGTTATATTGTACCAAATTTCTATATAATCTGATGATTTCAGAATGGTGTGTTATTTCATTTTGTGTATGTTATTTTTGTGTTCATTTATGTCGGTATGTGTTAATTATATTTTATTTAGAAAATTGTTTAATAAAGCAACATGTCTTATAACAAATTCTCTTTTTTAAAGTTCCCAATTTACAACAAATACTTTTGATATTGGGTCTTCATAAGAGTTTGTAAAAAATTCAAGAATTATGATTGAAATTGACATGGAATTTTGTTATTAAATCTACAAAATACAGTTGGTTGTAAACTTAACAAAAAGTTATGTGGACCTGGATTAACAAAAAATCGGTTTATTATATGGTTAAAATTAACAAATATTTTTTTACTGTGTATAAATGCAAATGACCTACAAGAAGAACAATAGTTGTTATACATTACGTATACGTAATGTATCCCGGATGCTGAAATATTGTATGAAATCTTTAGACGGTTTAAGTTACTTGTGCCAAAATAACTTAATTACTTTGTATCCGAACGCTTTTATAGTTTTGCGAATTTTATTAACACTCCCTGCATCTGTAGCTAGTGAGGAAATAAGTTTTTCAAAATTAAAAATGATAAAAAACTACTAAGGAAATTCAATAAGCCAAACAAAATTTAGACATCTATCATTATTATCTATTGAATCTACATTAGCTGCCACTCTAGATTACACATCTTTAATTAACGAATTTGCTAAAATAAAAGTTAGAAGGATAAAATTATATTAAAGTCCTGTTATATTTATGTTTTTTACAAATTAAACATATTTTCATTTTGTGCAGTTTTCTTCGGAATCTTTAATTAATTTAAAGAGAAAACATTTAAGGGGCGGCATTTCAATAACTTGCATCATACTGAAAAAATCTACCGCACGGCCCTGGTTTTAAATACCTATCTACCTATTTACCTATATACGAGGTGTGTTTAGAAAATATCGGGAATTTTCGTTTTTTGAAACAAATATTTATTTATTCGTCTACATTAATGTTGTCGCCTTCAAAATAGTCTCCATTGGATATTATGCACATGTGCCAGCTCTTCTTCCAATACTCGAAACACTTCTAAAACTCGATCTTTGGGATAGCTTTTAGTTCTTTCAGCGATGCGTTTTTAATGTCATCTATGCTTGCAAAACGACGGCCCTTTAAGTTTCTCTTTATTTTTGGGCATGTCTGGCGAATATGGAGGCTGAGGCATCAGTATTGTTTTTGGCAAAAATTTTGTTCAAAATTTAACAATTTTAGAACAAATTTTTCTGCTACGCGTTTCATACCCAAAACATTCGAAAAAATTTCATGGGATCAGCCAATCGATATACCAACATCATCAGCGACTTCTCTGATGGTTTATAACCATTTCTTCCACTTTTTCCATGTTTCTATCGGTTGTTAATGTGCTTGTGCGTTCTTGTTTTACTTATAGCAGACTCACTATAGGCCTTTGTTAACATTTCACAGAATTTATTTCATTTTTTAAGCATAATTGGATACAAATTCTTTGATCCATTTCTTTTAACGAACGAAAAATCGCCGAAATCATAAAACACGTCTAACATTAGCGGCTACCACAGACAAAGTAAACAATGAAAACAGCTAAAGTTTTTATCATACTTCGGGGGCATGTATACCAACATAATAAAGAAAATTTTATGACAACCGGACCCTCCGAACCCGCGAAATTTAGGAATTCCCGTTATTTTCTGAACACACTCCGTATATAATATACTGCAATGATTTTTTCAAACCTTTAGACACGTTGATTTTGTTTGCGAGACGGACATTTTTCAATTTTCGGACATTTTTCAATTTTCCAAAATTCGGTCTAATCGATGGTTAATCTTAAATTAAGAATAATATTATTTTATTTAAAGTCTTTATTAACATTTAACAGGCAAGAATAAGATCTGCTTGTTTGAAGAAAGATTAATATTTACTTTAATGTTAGTTTTAGCCTTGACAATATTAGGTCAATCATCTAAGAAATAAAATCTTTTCAATTTAAGGATAGGTTAATATTTAAAAGAAATTTAATGTATTCGTACCCTAAGCAAATTATACTTAAATCAAGTGATTTTTTTTTAAGAATAAAGGTATTCTTACATTTAGAAAACGTGTTTGGCAATTTTTTTGTTTATTTTGACTTGACTAAGAACAAAGTGGGCAGAGTAAAAATTTGAAAAATTTTAATTAAGAAAATAAACAGTAATTAATTTTAATTTAGGGCCGGTATTTAAAGTAGGCAATTGAGGATAAATGTTTCTGGGATAATAAAATTTCAAAGACGCTTTACAGAGGCAATTTAACTAATACCTTGTCGTTTAAATTTTAGGAATTGCCTCGTCGAATTCGCCGACCTTTAATTTGCTTTCCATGCTTTATTAAGAACGAGAAACGTCCTATTCCGCAAAAAAATTAACCTTCAAAAGTGTACCACAAAGATCTATTTTTGGACTCTTCCTAGTGTAAGTTTGTCGACACAATTACTCAAAGAATTTAAATTTATTTCACGCCCAATAAAACTTCGTAAACGCGACGTTAAATTTAAATTCGTAAATAACATAGTTAAAAGTATATTGGCCTTAGTAAAATACCAGCTTAAATATTTTGGCGCAATTCCAAGATTTGTTTTTAGGGGTTTTACTTGTTTTGATTGCGAATGCAAATCTTTATTCGCGAGATAATTATTGTAAAAGCTTGTAATGGAACGGATTAATTTGTCGGGATTTAAATGTAGCAAGATTTAATTGAATGTAGTTTTTGTGCTGCAAGACTTTTGGACATTAATTTTTCTCTTCGTTTATTTATTTAAATCAGTTCCTAAATAAACAAATATGCGTTTTATCATACAGAATGATCTCATTTTTAATTAAATTATGCATGAAACCGTTCAAATTGTCTTCTATGTGACAGTGGCGGCTCGTGACCATT